AAATAGATTATCCTTAACGAAACAGCAGCGTTAATAGATAAAAAAGAGATAAATGAAATAAAATGTATAACTACATTATTAATAGTGATAATAAGATAAAACTTGATGAATTAAATACCTTAGAAAAATAACATTAACAGCACCAGCATCTTCCCAGGGTTTAACAAGACCAGCAATATAAAAAAAAGGGCGTTCCCATGACACGAACGTAAACGATGCAATTAGTGGCGTTTGAGAGGTGCACGAACGAGTAAACGAGGCTGTCAGGGAATCAAACAATCAACAACAACGCAAAAGAGCAATTATTATCATATTCTCGTACGAGTCAACCTATACCAACAAACTTCCTGATCGGCGCTATTCCCACCAGCAAACTGAACTAAATAAACGACAACTACCCAACGAGCGGATAGTTCTGGGAGGTCCCAACGAGCACCAGGGTAGTAATAACAGCCTCATCAAACTCATGCGAGCATAACATAACGATGAAACTATCGAACGAGCCAACGATTTCACAAACACTAAAAAATTATACACCAACGAGACTAACACGAGTCAAATGACCAATTCAACAAGTCCTTAACGAGTACCATAAAACTATCCACTAGCGAGTAACACTAGACAAACGAGCAACAAACGAGCAAACTACTGAACGAGCTGATAGTCTTCCCAGAGCTGTAGTTACGAGAACCTCATTTACTGACATCACGTTTACCTGTCCTCCTACCTGTAATTATTTGATGTTCTCAGGTACCCCTCACGACCTGCCTCTACCTGGTACCTGTGAGATGGTGGATGAATGGATTGGTGGATGAATGGATGATTGGATGAGTGAAGGATTGGTTAGGTGGTTAGGGGAGTAGGAAATGGACTGGTTGGATGACTGAGGGAGAATGGATGATGAAATAAATGATGGGTGGATGATGAGTGTGTGTATGGTGGATGATGGGTGAGAGTGTGATGGATGATGAGCATACAAAGGGCTTGATGATGATCATTTAATGGGTTGATGATAACGACTGGGTGATGGATGAATGCTATTATGGATGACCTGTACGAGAGAGTTGGATGAGCAGTGTAATCCATTAAAATCTGGTTGTTAGGTGGTTGACTAAATTATTGATGAGTAGAAGATAGAGAGAGAGAGAGAGAGAGAGAGAGAGAGAGAGAGAGATGTAATAACTAAACAAAACACCTCATTAGTAAATTATCCTAATTAAGAAACACTAATTAATCCTAGTCATTAGATAGATCAGTTTTCTTGCATTTATTGAGAGATCAAATTGGTAGAAATCATCTCGGTTCCAAATTGATTCCCAAAGAAATAGGTAAAAATGGGACGTGTTTCCCAATTTTAAGGTCAGTTAATCTTCAAGAAAATCTTTTGAAAATGTACAACAAAGGCTGGATATTGAGGCTGATGCAGTTCATGAATGTTGGGAATTTAATTTTAAGAGTTTAAGAGCCTGTAGGGGTTCAGCTCACAACTGACCTCACTCTAACCTTCTCCTCTGCTCTCAACATCACCAATCATCTCGAGGCTATCAACTGGGGATAAACTTCAGCAGGTTACTCAAGCTGTACTGTCTATGGACGTGTATACTTACACTGTCTATTTGTACACATGATAGTTAACATGAAATTGTGCCAGCCATTTTGCTGAATCTCTCTCTCTCTCCTCTCTCTCTCTCTCTCTCTCTCTCTCTCTCTCTCTCTCTCTCTCTCTCTCTCTCTCTCTCTCTCTCTCTCTCTCTCTCTCTCTCTCTCTCTCTCTCTCACAGTTGGCCATAACAAAACCCTCTAGTAAAGATAAATGAGATGTCATGTTAGGTTCCATATTAAACTGAGGAAGGATAATGTAAAAGTCAGAATAGAAAAATCCACTCTTACGCCTGCCTCACCTCCTGACTCCTCCTGTTATTGTGTAAGTAATACAAAGAGAGGGAGGGAGAGAGAGAAAACAAAGAGAAAGAGAGATAAGAGACAAAAACACAAACACCCACAAGAGACACATACGTAAACACAAACACGCGGATAAGGTAGGTGAGCCAATTGTCAGAGAGGCAGAAAATAATTGCTTTAACTCAAGGCGCCAGGTTAGCCGCCACAACACAACATCGAAATTACACTGATACTGTACTGTAACTAGATGTTGTGTGTCTCACCGCGCGTCGTGGCGGCAAAAAAAAAAGTCGTTCAAACTCTCGATTCTCAGAGCACTGCAAGTTAAATTATATCCTTTAACTCAGGAGAAGAAATCTAGTTATAGAAGATTCTCTGAAAGTTATATCGACCCCTTGTTTGCTCCCATCTGCGAGCAGTAGCGTTAAGGAGTCATATACTAAGATTTTTTGCTTAACGTGTAAGTCTTTGGGAATCTATATCATTGTCGTACCTTAACCGAGACATTAAAATGTTCCCTCACAGCTCCAGATAAGGAAAAAAAAAAAGAGTTAACTTAATAACCTTTTGAGAGTGAGGGTCTGAGTTGGCGCGTTCA